ATACATATGTTTCCCAATTAAAAAAATGATGTCCGCATTACTAATATAGCTCTTTTCTAATGCTTCAGTAGAACGTATATTTAGGACCAGTTTTTCAGTGCACGGCCGTGATTTAAACTCAGTTTAAACGCCCCATCTGGCTGGTTTAAACTATTATCAGCCAGCTGTTCAATTTATACTCAGTTTAATTGAACTAAGTTTAAACTGGCACTAAAAAACTGGCCCTTAGCAGTTTAAAAATGTGTAGGACTGACTTGAGGACCAGATTGAGCTCTGATATAGTTGCAGAAATATTATATACAAACCAAGGCATACAAAATAACGGTGATACTTTGTTTGAACCGCAAGAACAAATGTACCAATTGAATTGGAGAATGTAATTAATTTGTATGCTAAGTACCTGTAAATATTAAATAAGAAAATTTGGAGTATTTGTTCGGATTTTGAGGATTTTGAGGATTTTTCATTTGTTTTTGAGGAATTTGGTAATTTTTCTGTGGCAACACTCCATACTGGAGTAAAAAGGCACACATTCTCAAACGTACGCCACATACATGAGTAGCGGTGATCACTCCCACCATGCAAAACATGAGAAATAGGCAACAATCGTCAATTGCAACAAATTGGCGACTCCGATTTATTGCTGTGGTGATAAATCGGCAACATCATTTCTTTCATGTCAACTTTGGAATAAATAAGATATATAAAATTCGCAAACTTATAAATTTCCCGTCAACAGTATTATCCAAACTCGTCTAATTTATATCAAGGACAGAAGAACGAATTAATTCCGTTTCTAAGTTCCAATTTTGTAAACAAAAAATAAATCAAGTATTAAAAATAATAAAATTATTCCAAATGTCGCCGGAAACGATAAGAAAACGACTCATTCAGGTAATAAGAAAATGACTCGCCCGGCGAGTTGCCTTCGGCGGACGTTTTAGAGCGACTGGTAATAGGAAATCGATACTATGGCAATAATACCGGCAATAAATTTGTTTCCGAGGGCGAGACGTTTTCTTATTGCCGGCAATAAAAATTGTTTGGTGGGATACCACAAGTAAACGCGAGCTGAAAGTGTGATTGTGTTCGTGTGCCAATTACGTTTGAATGATTTTGCGTTCACTTTGTTAGGCACGGTGCACATTAGAGCGATACGATATGCGATACGATACGCGGTGCGATATGAAATGCGCGCAGTGCACATTAGAGCGATGAGATATGCGATGCGACACGCGATACAATTTTGTGATAGCTACACAAACTTTTGTGCCCTTATAAGCTTGTAAATGATTTGTAAATGAGTTGCTTCTCAACCGAGTTTGGACCTTTCGAATAATGGGTCTATGTTTATATCTATAAACTTTTAAAAAATTTAAGAGAAAAGTATATTTAATATCGAGTAAAACTGATGTTTATTTTTTCAAAGTCGGCTAAAAATTAAATGAGATATTCAAATTTTCCATGACAAATTATTTCTGAATATTGCGTTCACTACAGGGAGAAATCAGTGAAAGCTGAATTAAAAAAAAGGTTAAGCAAAAATTTTTGAGTTGTATAGCCAAAAATATTATTTTTCTCATGAAAGGTTGAATAACTTTTCCCCGATTTTGTAAAGTAAAAATCACTATATATTAGATGTTAATTTTGCATCAATTCAGGAGTAGTATAGTTGCTTTATAGAATAGTGCGTGAAAATTTTGCCAAATTTGAAAGACGAAAAAAATCATATATCATTCGAAAGGTCTAAACTCGGTATATAGTCAACTGAGTTCCAAGCTTATAAGTGCGGAAAACCAGTTTTTCAATAGTAAATCAAGATTGTGTGGGTGTTTGACAAAAATTTCGTATCTCGATTCTTACTTCACTCGGCAAAACCTACCTGAAAAATAACATGACTTAACAGGTATTTTTACTTCATTATTTTTTGTAGCATTGTGTAATAGAGCACCCAAACTTGTACTTTCTCTATTTTATTTAAAAACTTATTAAGTATAATAAAATAACATTCAAGAAAAAAACATATCGTCGTTTAAAGTACAAAACCGCATATCAACAAAATGCAAACGCGTATCAAGATAATGCAAAAATGAGGTTGCACAAATTATTTTCTAGTGAGTAAAAACACTCGTATTTCAAAATGATTCTCATTTTTATAAAGCAATCCCATTTCTGGCTAGTATATTTTAGGACAAATGGATAAGGATTGAGCCAAGAGCCTATGTGAGCAAATCCAATTTTTGGCAGCCAATGTCAGTTACGCAGTTTTGCAGAATGACGATAAAAGGTTTTGTACTTTAAACGACGATATGTAAAAATATAACGAATATTTTATTCGTTAATTTTGAGCTCCAGGCCGGTTTTTAAATAAAACATAGATTTTGCAGTTCTATGTTTTATTTAATAACCGGCCTGGAGCTCAAAATTAACGAATAAATTATAATAAAACGGCCAAAAACAAAAAACTAATCAATATAACGAATAATCAAAAATCACACTTTTAGCAGGTGTTGCCAATCGGCCCTATGCTGAATCTCGTCATCGTCACTTTTACTGACGATGACGATATTCAACATGGGGCGGAATATTCATCAATTAAATAGAAAAAATTTAAAACGCGAAACTATTGCATGAAGTGAAAGGGTGATAATAACCTAACCAAAGGCTTGTGAAATGGACCATTTTCAAAAGATTTGGACCAATGGACCGAACGAAAAGAAATGGACCAAATTTGACGTCGTCCATTTGGACCAAAACGGCAACCGTGATTATATCTGATTTCTTCTTTTAATGGTAAATGAAATGAGATGCTAGACACAGCAGGCAAGATGATGGAGAGTCTGCTCAAAATACACTTAACGTCAGCCATAGAAAGTGTGGGAGGCCTTTCACCCCAACAACATGGCTTCAGGAAGGGACACTCAACTATAGAAGGAGTTGGCGAAGTAGTCGAGGCGGTACATAAGGCCGAAGAAGCCTGCCACCAGGCACGGCCAATAGTGTTGCTAGTCACATTGGACGTCAAGAACGCCTTCAACTCGGCAAGATGGGACAACATGCTGGAGGCCTTGGAACGGTCATTCAAGGTTCCAACATACTAGCTAGATATGATCCGGAACTACCTCAGCTACCGTTGGCTTTTGAACGACACAACACAAGGACAGAGAAAGAGACGTATAAACGGCGGAGCGGCACAGGGGTCTGTACTTGGACCGGACCTCTGGAACGCCACGTATGACAGTCTGTTGCCTTCGCGGACGACGTGGCCGCCGTCATAACAGCAAGAAACGTCCAGCTAGCACAGCTAAAGCTAAACCAGGTTATGCGCAACGTTAGTGGATGGATGAGCGAGCACGGTCTGCAATTGGCTACAGCCAAAACAGAGATCGTGCTCCTCACCAGGAAATGGATCCCAACAATTATAAACATGATGATCGGACCTCAACTCGTGACAACTTCTAGGTCTACAAAATACCTAGGGGTGAAGCTTGACATCAAACTCACATTCCGCAGGAAACTTCTGATGACAGCAGTCCAGTCGGTGCTCCTGTACGGGGCAGAAATATGGGCCGACGCATTGAAAGTCAAAAAATACCGGATTTAAATGTCTTCGGTCCAGCGCAGAGGGGCACTACGCATTGCTTCTGCATACCGTACAGTATCCGCAAACACGGTTCTAGTTATTTCTGGCGTTATGCCAATTGAGCTACTTGCTTACGAGCGAAAAGAGATTTACAATCTCAGTGCCGAGATAGGTCGAGCACCTGCCGCGGCAAGGGCGCGCGAGCAACTAATCCAGCAGTGGCAACAAAAATGGAACGCGAGCACAAAAGGTCGATGGACGCACACCCTGGTAGCCGACCTTAAAACATGTTTGAACAGGCCGCAAGGGAAAGTGGATTTCTACATGACGCAACTCCTCACCGGTCATGGTTACTTCCGAGAATATCTTCATAGAATGGGAAGAGTGGACTCACCGTTCTGTTACTACTGTGGAAACCGCGAAGATAACGTGCACCATACATTCTTCACTTGCGAACACTTCTTGATTTCCCGCAGAATGTTGGAAGAAAGATACGGAGACATAACTCCGAACAACATAATTGGGGTAATGATCTCCAGTGCAGACTAGTGGAAAGCAGTTGGGAGATACGTGAAATTTGTACTCCGCTGCAAACGAGAGGACGGATGTCTACTGAGGACGCTCAAATGAAAGGCCCCTACAAGACAGCAGCCCGAGGCTCTAGCAGCGCGCTCCTGCATCTGTAGACATGCAGAAATGCGGTGCCAGATGCGCTATTCTTGCACGGGCGGTGGGAGTTTGGGTTTTGGTGGGTAGCCCAACATGCTTCGGTGGGAGTCCCACACTTTGGGAAGGTAGTATAAAGACTAGCGTCCTCGGCCAGTGCATAAAGCATTTCCCTCTCCTAGGAACAAAAAATAAATAAAATAATAATAATAATAATTTATACGATGGTGAATGTTTCAATAAGAGCGCACATAGTAAAGAATAAAGCGTAATGCACTCCCATTAAAATATACACGTTTCTAATCGACTCTTTGCCTGCCCCTCCACTTTGTGCTTACCCTAAGACTTTCCACAGGATTTTTATACCCGAGCGCACTTGTTTAGTTTTATTATTCCTTGTGATAACATCTTTGTTATGGATACCATTTAGAGAGTTGTCTAAAGCAATTGAGGATCTTAACTATTAAAGCCTCAACACGGCTCGAATTTTTTAGGAAGAAAACATCATTTATTTTCTTGTCTTGATTCAGGTCACATAAAACACATTTACTGGCACTGCATTATGCTCTGCAGTGCTGCATAAAATGCACGAATAAGGGCTCGTCAAGTCCCTGTCAAAAGTTCGGCCCTTCCCCACCTCTAGTGTGAACAAATCACTATTGTTAAGTCAAATTATTTTTCCATAAAACTTCAATGTATGGTTTACATTTTCTTATCTAATATGAACAATATTATCAAAAATGTTACATACCTGTTGTAGCTCATTATTTTTAAATACCAGCGGCAGTATATTAATTAGGCCGGATAAGACGTTATCCTTGACAAAAACTAAAGCAGTGCTGTTTTGAATAAACCGCGGAGCTCTAAAAGATATCATGGAAAAAATTAAAAAAAAAGAAAATTAATCAAAATATTGTATGTTGCTGATATATATATATATATATATATATATATGATGTATATAACAGCGTAAGAGTTTCTGCCTAAAAATGCGAAAACGGAGTATAAACAATAGAAAAGGGTGCAATAACTGTGTACATCCAAAGCGAAGATTCTAACAATAGTTTACTATTGTTAACTGAAAAAAGACAATATTTAAAATGCAAAACTACACTTTCTAAGTAATATATTCCTCCAAAGAATCTTCCATGGTCGAAAAGCCCTCACGCTGCAATTCTAGGTCCCGCAAGAATTCTAAATTCTCAAAGTACCACAACGTGGGCACATCTTCAGAGCCTGCTCCAGATTTCTCACTTTTCCCAATTTTGTTGCAATTTTCGCCTGTGGCAGGCTCGTATGCCCTGATATTTTGGCAGTTTTGTCTACTTCCCTCTACTTCTCCAGCATATTTTTCCATGATTTTTGTTTTTATTCCTATCTTTATTTTTTCACTTTTACTTTGCCAAATCGCAACTTCTCCCTTCAAAAATTCAAAAAAGAAATATCTTATAAAAATCGCTTACTTGCAATGTCCCGCAATGTGCTCACTTCAATGGTTCAAAATACCCTGATATGACGAAATGGGTTAAAAGTAAACTGATATGATGACATGGGTTAATGTTCGCCACTAACGGTCGAACAAATCAGAATTTTCAAACCCGCCTCATTTCTTCGCGCACCACACCACTAACGAGAAAAATGACATCGAACAAGAACAAATCAGATGGATTTATTCGCTGTTAGGGCCTAGCTGCGCACACACGACTTGTGTGTGAAAGCCGAGTAGCTCCCGGAGACTCCCGTGTGCACCACTGACGTAAATGCTGCGTCAAACATTCGCGGAAAGTTGGTGTGGCTGGAGATACTAATCAATGCGAAGGCAATTTTGTGAATTGCATAAGATTTGCACCGTTCATTAGATTTTCTAAAATGAAAGTGCTTGGCCTCTGATGTGCAGTAAGGTTATAGTTTTTTAATAGGGTTGCCAAGGGCTTTTGAAATTATGATATTTACACCGTCTGCCGGATTTTCAAATATGAGGTGTCCAACGAAGAAACTTGCCCAACAGATGGGAAAGTAGGGTTTAGTTTATTGAATATGGTTGCCACTGTCTTATATGCCCTTGTTTTCAGCTAATTAAGTTAAGCGACATTTGGACTAGTTTTTACTATATTTCCTTTGTATACCAGAAAAAACATTTTTCCTTTTGTTTATTTTAGGTTTGCATTTTTTCTTTTATAAAAGTCTGACCCTTTACATAACCAGCGCCACATAAATCAACATTTCAAACTTCGTACAAAAATTCAACATACTTTATCAATTATTTACACCCAAAAATCTCAAAAGGAAGTCGCATTGATTTTTAATATTTTTTTTGGCTCACAGTGTTGTGCATTTTCTTCCATATATGTAAAATATGCTCTATAATTTATTTTATAAGGAAGCAAAAATCAACGCGATTTTCTAGCGTCATGATATTTGCACTTTAAAGGCCAGTATGCAGCTATTAAGAAAAGCAAAAACTCCGTGTAAAATGACGTACAAGAAATGGCTAAGAAATTTTTTCGAGTCAAATTTCTTTAAGGCAGTACGAAGTTCTTAAGAAATTTGCTACACTTTCTACTACGGTTATCCAAAGTTTTTTGTGAAAAAACGAGCACAAGGCAACCCATGTTTGCAACAGAAATAAATGTCCGTTCAATTATTTCTTGGGGAAAGAGTGAGGCAACAGGCTGTGAAGTATCAGATGTCAAAATTCCTTGGACACACCCACGAAATAATGGCGTTTTTCTCTAGACCGTTTTCTTGAGAGCTACATACTGGCGTTAACCTACTAAAATTTCATGGGCTATAAAACTGCATACCCAAAATGCTTCTGAAAATTCTGAATAAAAAATTTGAAATTTTTGGGGGATTTTGGTAAATTTGTTGAATTTTTATAATTTTTGTACAAAGTTTGAAGTGTGAATTTATATGGTGCTTGTTATATAATGCGCTAGACTTTTATACAAAAAATATTAAACATAGAGTACTCAAAAGAGTGCTCCAAAAAAGGTAAAATCGGAATTTTAATGCTAGGATCGCAAAAATATGATCCTGTTTGAATATTGCTTCGCTTGGTCCCTTTGCTCTCACCTTGATCTCATACACACTTTCCGTTTGAAAGAAAAACTTTGGGTTCGATTTTAGAATGTACAGTGTCCGTTTATTCACAAGCTTTTTAATAGGCACAAGGTTTAGCTCAAGTTAGTTATTGGGATTTTGATGCATATTTACATATACAGGAGTTGTTCCCTTATTAAAAACATATTGATGTAAAGAGATTAACAAATTACTAATTTGTAGAGGGCGCGTGCGCGAAGTTCGACGATAAGTGCCGAACTGACTTTCACATAACTTGGCACAAAGATGGTAGGCGGCCGTGCCCACTCGGGAATCACTTTTCGGAGTCGCCTCGACACCGCTGCGGCCAAAGGATGCGCGCACGGCCGCCGAATTAAGTTTAAGCGGCGACTTACACACTGTCACTGTGTACTGTGGTACTGTGTTTTTAATCAATAAATATCTAGAGGGTGCTCAAAGCGCTCAAAGTTTCCCATGTATTTTATATGGCAATAAAAAAAAACAATTTTTCATGAAAATGGTATAGAATCCTTGAAAATCAATATTTTTCAATCGGCAAAGTGCATTTCTCTTCAGGAGACTACTTTATACGAGCATACTTTATATGGCAGAAAATGTACAACACTGTCAGCCAGATTATTAAAAATAAGCGCCTTTTACTATTGTCTTGAAGTTTGCACTTTAACCCCCCAAAATTAAAGGGGCTATAACACTGCGCCCCTAAAAGAAAGTTTGAAATTTTTGGGTGTTGCTAATTGATACAAGTTTGTTGAATTTTTGTACGAATTTTGAAGTGTTGATTTTTGTGGAGCTGGTTAAGTAAAGGAACACACTTACAAAAAAAATGTAAACATAAAAAAAAAAAACAAAATAAAATAGTAAAAACTAGTCCAAATGTCGTTTAACTTAATCAGCTGAAAACAAGGGCATATAAAACCCTATTCAAAAAAATAAATCCTACTTTCTGTTGGCCAAGTCTCTTCGTTTGACACCTCATATTTGAAAATCGGGCGAACGGTGTAAATATCATAATTTCAAAAGCAGGTGGCAACTTTATTAAAAAACTATAACCTTACTGCCGCCAAGGTTTGACGCAGCATTTACATTCACTTATAGCTAAAATATAATGCCGACGAACGGCGAACTCACCACAGCGAAATTTGCGCTGTCAAGCATATGAAATTGAGCACAGCAAAAGCGAAATGCGAAATTCGATATGCGGCGTTTCATGGCGATAGAATTATTTCTATCGCTCTGCTGGGCGATGGCTGCTTTTTTTGATTTCAAAGTTTTAGAAGAAACCAACATAAACACGAATTATTTTTGCTGTTTGAAAAATGTAATCGCCGGCGAGATTCGAATTATTTGATTCTAATCGATTCTTTATATCAATCTTTCTTTTAGCTGAAAAATCTATAAAACAGCCGTCAATCATAGCTCATAATGCTATTAAATATAATTAGTCAATTAACATTATTGTAAACGGGGTTTAAAAATAAGTTCTAGCAGTAAATTTTTGGAAAAAATGCTTAATTTGCTATAAAATGTGTGATTGGCACATATTCACGGTACTGTTTGATGTGGAAAATAAAAAATTTTAATCCCCCCTTATAATTGTTTCTTTCCATAAATTCATTTCCACCATATCTATGAATATGAGTCAATTATTCTTACTTAACCCTTCTGCAATGTTTGGCTCAATATGACCCAATTTTCATGAAAAAATCTTTAATTACAGAATTAGGCAATTTTAAATAAGCTGCGGCAGTGTCTATTCGTTAAAAGTGTAATCAGCTATGGTTTTGCAAAAAAAAAACAGCTGAAGCTAGCTAGAAGGCAACATAGTTTTTCATGCACCCGCAGTATTTTTGGGTCATTTTACCCAGATTATTACTTAGTATTTAAGGGCACACAAACGGCAATAAGGCAAAATTTGCTTTATTTCACTTTTAAATGGGAAATAATACCAAAATCTGAGTTTTGCTTTTGTTTGCGCTAGCCCCCTTCACCTTAAGTATGTTTATTGATTAGAGAATTTCACTTGTTGATGTCGCTGTGAGCCAAGCGGGAACAGTTACTCGTTACTCCAATTCCTTTTTCTCGAGTCCTGTTACCCGCCTGGGATGTTGAGTTTCGCCTTCTGCGATCACCCAACACTCTGCCACTTTGGAAGATATAACCTTTTGTTACAGCATTTTTTATACATATAAATATATATGCAATAAAGTGGCAGTTAGGCACTTACATATATATAGGTTAAGGGTTAGGTTATCCAGACTGCCCTCATCCGTACAGGAAAAGGGCACACTTAAGCCTCCATGGGCCCATTGTGATACCATATTTGAGACTCGTAGCGTCCCTCCTCCTACCTCAGAAATTGAACCAATTTATAGCTCTGATGAACCCAGTTCAGCCAGACACTCGAAAGAATAGCGAAGGACAGTGGCACAGGTAATGCTCCACGCTCTCGATTTCCTCCTCATCGCGGCAGCTACGACAGTATTTGTTTGGCTGCAGCGTGGGTTCCCATAAGGCAGTGCCCGGTGAGAATTCCAATAACATGGCGGAGCATTGGTCGCTCCAAACGGAAGAGAGGGCGAGATCTACGCTTATCTAACCTAGGCCAAATGTGTCTCGCTATCCTGCACGTGGGCTCCGCGGACCATCTTACATTTGCCCATTCGATAAAGTTATTCTGCAGCCAAAGTTTACAGGATGATAGCGGAATACCCGCATTACGAGCGGTACTGATCGCAGGCAGTAGGGTTCCTTTCCGAGCCAGCTCGTCCGCAACACAGTT